ATTAAAACTAATATTTAATATTCAATAAAGACATAATCAACAAAAACAGCAATGAATCACCCATGTCAATCAGGCCACCACGGTTACTCCATCCTCCATGCGCTGGACCCAGCGCCGCAGACTGCTTTATAGCTCAGTACCGCTGTCCATGTCATCTGATGTCAATCACTGCATGTCGCTCATTGTCTTGCTGACTGGTCATCGCCACTGTCGCTAACATCTATTATGTGTCTCTACGCTTAGACTGTCCCATACGCAAGACTGCTACCCAGATTGTCAGACTGTCACTCTAAATAAACAAATAACCAAAAATATCGCTAACAACTCGCTAAAGCGCCATTCTGTTTATTCATAATCAACTAACATCTAATGCTAGAAATGTAACTAATAAAAACATTTCTTCTTACCCTGGTCCCTTAGAATTAATTCCTACATGTTATCTCTGGCAAACAACTCACACCTCTTGGAGCCAAGATCGCGAGCCAGCCTCGGCGACTTGCTCCAAATGTTTGTATGTGTCGTTCACCAGAAAAACACGACACACGCCCCTGCTAACACTACATGGCGCTGTGTCCCGGCTGACCTAAACACTCTCTCTATATAGGGGAGACCCTATCCCACACCTAAACCAACGCTACTAAATCGTCCGTGTCTGTCCCAACCTACAGGTATCGAGTCGCCCTAGAAGCTATACATTTAAGTGACAGACTATTACTACCCTTTGTCTGTACTCTGTCAAGTCTATCGGTGAGTCGTGAAAACACCTAACAAAATAATTAACTTAGCTCAAACACACACACACACATCTGTGAACGTTTGTGTAAGAGATTTTTTTAAAAATTCTTCAACGGCTGGTAAAATCAATAATTTGCCTATCGTGTGATGTTTTCAGTATTTTACTATAAGTAAAGAGATCTTCTTATCTTATATAATACAGACGTTACTTCAAAAAAGAAGATGATTACGTCCTACGCGTCATGCATATTAACCAATGACTTAAATTCTGCCAAGTCACTGGTTTTTCTGGCTAGCTCAGGCAACCCATTCCATGCTCTAATAGCACTAAGGAAAAAAGGAGTATTTGTACAAATTTGACCTAGCATATGGGACGAAGAATGTGCCTTTATTTTTGTGTCTTTCAGAGTATTTGATTAAATTTTGTTTTTGTATTTGAAGATTATGGTTCAGTGTTTTATGTATAATTGCTACTTTACTTTTGAGTCTTCTGTCCTGAAGGCTTCCTAAATTTAGTGATTTTACTAATGGTGTTACTCTAGTCAAATGTGAATATTCGTTTGTTATGAATCTCACTGCTCTATTTTGTGTTTGTTCCAGTTTCTTAATGTTTTCTTGAGTTGAGGGGTCCCAAACGGTGGATGCATATTCTATTATTGGCCTAACCAAGCTGTTTTGTATTGGCTACTGCTTTTATCTGTGTATTTTTATGATCTCATGGTCTGATAGACCAGGGATAATATCATAATCAACTACTAATCCAGGTCTGTTGGCTATGAAGAGATCTAATGTGTTGTTTAATCTAGTTGGCTTTTTAATGATTTGATCTAAACTTAGGTTGTGTAAAGTTTCTATGAAAAGCTCATTTATGTCCTTAAGGTTTTGGTGTTTATCTATGGTTAGTGTTTTCCAATTTATATCAGGTAGGTTGAAGTGACCCATAATCCAAAAAACTGCATTTTTATTTGTCTCTCTAAGTGAAGTAATCTGATTACATAGTTCCTGCATGTATTCTAAACTAGAATTTGGTTTTCTGTAAATGCTGCCTATTATAAGGGATGTTGAGGTGGTATTAATTTTACAAAATGTAGATTCTATGTTTTTTTAGTTAGGTAAGGTAATTTCTTCTGCTATAAGAGTGTTTTTTATTGCTAAAAGAACTCCTCCATGATTATCAGCCCTATCTTTTCTAAAAATTTCATAATCACTATTGAAAATTTCTGCATTATAAATTTCAGGATGTAGCAAAGTTTCTGTTCCTGCAATTATGTCTGGTTTCTCACATTCTAATAAAATTTCTAAGTCTGCTGTTTTGTTCCTAATGCTTTGAAAATTTATTACTAAGGTTTTAAGGAATTTTGGTATTACTTCTTTAGCAGGTCTGTCTAGTGAGGCTGCTGTATTAATTTTAGTAGATTTAGGTTTAACAGGAGTGGATCTGGCTAGTGGTTGGTGAGTTTGTTTTGTGATGGTGTTTAGGATGTTGTATGGGTTATAAGTGTCCGCATCAAAGGAATCAAACAGTCCTGATGTAAACTGAGGTAACCCACACGGTACACAGTGCCATGATGCATCTTTGTTGCCTAAGGCATTATACACAGGTGTATTCATATGGAGACATGATGCATGGTACCATTCATCGCAGGTGTCACATTGAATGGCTTTCTGTTTCATGGTGCATACTTTTTTGCAGATGTTGCATCTATCTTTAGATCTAGGCCCTGGATTTGACTCTACATCTCCTGCTATTAATATTAAAAGTGATAGGTATTTATTTCTACTGTGTCTGATTGAGAACTTCCATTTGTGATGGGTAATCTTATTTAATGTTATGGATGTGTATGTTAGGTTATTTTTGAAGTTGCATTGATCTAAAGTGTGATGATTGATTATGACTGTTGTTTCCTTTTTAAGTTTAGTAGAGACTGAGGTAGATCTAGTTCTGTGTTCAGCTAGTGTGTATTTAGTAATTATTAGGATAAATAGCCAGAGCAATTTCATGATGACTGTTGTTGATTTTAGTTTTTAAAGGTCTAGTCTAAATCTAGTTTAAGGTTAAAAATGCCTAAGATGGCCTAAGCTAAGTCTAAGGTGATAATTTACAATGACAATCAAATGGTTTTTTCAAAATATAGACCTAGACTAGATCCAGATCTAATTGTATGTCAATATATTTATGTTTTACTAACTATATAGAGTATTACTATTAGTTTATAATTAGTAGTATTAGTAGATGATTAGTAGGTCTAAGGCCTTAATTAAAGTCTAACTCTAAGACTGACTAGATAAAAAATCAAAAAAGAGATATAGTAAAACGCGCACTAATCATCACCTTCTTAATGTCAGGTCAAATAGAGATTTTGTGGCTGCATTCTGAACTTTATCTTTTGAGTGTTAGAAATTTTTGCAAACTATTATGTTTTTATTAGGGTGGCATCATCTTAAATGATCTTTCAGCATAATTGGTTTCATAGCATCATAAAAATGACACTTTTAACACTCGCTTGTTTGACAAGGAAGTAATGAAGTTCAATGTCAAGTACTTAACGCTGTACAGTCTACATTTATTTTTGTTAAAAGACGAAAATACACTATTTAAATATAGTCAATGTCAAGTACTTAACGCTGTACAGTCTACATTTATTTTTGTTAAAAGACGAAAATACACTATTTAAATATAGTTATTAAATTAAACAAAATAATTTTTCATTCAATCAGCAGGATAACAATTAAGGTAAACATCTTAAATGTGTGTATAGAAAAATTCTTATTGTCAAAATTAAAGTCACGACATGTTGAATTAAGATTCTTTATTGTAGACACCGGTGGACATCTCATAGACCCCAAATTTATTTTTAACTTTCTTAGACCCTTTGGAAGTCTTCGTAGACCCCTGAGTGTCTATATAGACCACTTTGGGAATCACTGTATTAGATCTAGATCTAAAATATAAATTTGGAATAATGTAGATGAAATAAGATTTATGTAAAAAAAAAGTCTAGATAATCTATTAATAGACTGAATGCAACATTCAATTTCAAAATAGTAGATTAGTTTTAATATTTTATAACATTGCAATATTAATCTAAGACATTTGGACATAAAAATTAACACTTAAAGTCTAGAAATTGAAATTATAGAAAATACTTCATCAGGGCTGTCTGGTTGTGCTGTTTGCGCGCTGGACTGTCGTTTGGATTAATCGATGGTTCCAGGTTCAAACCCTGCTCGTTTCCATCACCCGTCGTCCTACGAGAGTTTGGACTTCAACTCTAAAGGAACATCTGTTTTATTTGGTTTGTGTAATACCAGTTCATCTTGAACGTCAAAGTCAGGTACAAGAACAAATGCACCAATACTTCCAGGACATGTGGGCGTGTCGTAACGTATTCGTTTCATGTCTTTTACATTTCCTAGAAACTTCCCAATAGATACATGCTTTATACAGCCGTGTGGGTGGGAAACTATTACACATAATTTAGTTTCCTCCCAACGAACAGTGCTAACATATTTATGAAAAGCAGCTCGCCAATTCAAAACAAATGTATCTAACAAAGTGTCCAGCGTTTTCAGAAAATCAATATCACATGTAACACACATGAACATGCAAATATCTTTCTCTTTATTTAGAACTACTATGTTGTCTCCTGAAAGATACTTACATTGTTCTTTTCGGCTCTCGTCATCATAAAAGAAGATACAGTTAATCTCTTTGGCGTCCCAATCATTATATGCAAATTGTGCAGATGTCAGAATTCTTATTTCTCCCCATCGTTCCCTTTTTTCTGTCTTGCAAGTCTCACAAACACATTTGCATGAACCATCTTTTTGTGTGCGAAAAAATACTTCATCAACCTTTCCACTTCCTAAAACAATTTCCGAAGAAGAGTTCAGCTCCTCCTTGACTGTTTTCACTTCTATCTTGACTGTTAATTTAGCTAAAGTCTTTATCAATTCTACCATTTCTTGGTGTTGATAGGCAGAAGGTAAATGGTTTGTACGAAAGTCTGTAACCTCTACAAAGCCAGAGTGACCAGGATTATGTTGGCACTCAAATCTTGCCAAAGTTTTAGGTTGAGTACTGTCTTCTAGTTTAATATCTACCATCCCTATAATAGAAAAAAGCAATTAGTAAAAAAAAACAACATTAAAAATATTTATTGAATATCTCGAATGATAAGCACAAAATTTTCAGAAATATTAATTTCTATACTCTTGAATCAATATAGCCTTATATTCGGAAATTTCCGAAGGCGATAGTCCTTTAAAAAACGTGATAGTCCCTTTAAAACCAATGTTGGCTATAGATATAGGTCTATTTCTCAATTTAAATTTACATTTATTAACATTTTACTTTAAAAAATTATATCAAACTAAAGATTTCCCCATAAGGCTATGGAGCTAGATCTAGTAATCCTTTTCTCAGCGATAAAAATGAACGTATAAATTTCTAGGAAAACCGTAGAGCTGATTTTGAGCCCAGCGTCCAGGTTCGAAACTACTCCTTACATACTATTCTGACTTAACTCTTAAAAACCGTAATTTTTTTCTCATTCTACCGGAATTATTTTTTTCCCCACAATTTTTATCACATAAGCCTTTTTATAAACGTCCTACCGTTTTTTTTCTGTTTGTTAAAACATAGACATGTTATATAAAATTTTGTTGGAAATAGAATGTACTACAAGATAATTTATCTTTCAATGTTATAGATAGTCACTGGAAAAAAAAATTAGGTAATTTCAGAGATGAAAATTTTTTTTTTTTTTTATTTAATCTTTAAAAACTGACTTTCCCAAGTAAAAAAGAATATTCCAACAGTCCTCAATCATTATTATTGCATGAAATATTAAACTCTATGACTAGGTATGTGACAAAATTAAAAAAAAAAAAAAAAAAAAATATCAGATTGTTAAAGCGCTTTTTCTGAGCTTTCCAATGATATATAGATTGTTGGTATAGGTGCAGCGAATAAAAATTTTTTTTTTTTTTACGCATTTTCACTTAACATTAAGTCAATGGAAATGATGACACCAGATTTTATGAAAATTGGTAATATTTTACCAATTTTCAAAGCCATTTAAAAACCATATATCAAAATAAAGCACATAAAGCTTAATTGAAGTATGGTATTGTTTTATAAAATTTATTTATAAAAAAAAATTTTTTTTTTTTAAGTAAGCCAATATGACATTGTTATTTTTAATTTATTAAATAAAACTTTAATTTATTTTTATTTTTAAATTTTATCAATAGTATAATATTAAACCACTTGTTCTGAGCTTTCCAATGATATATAGATTTTTGCAATAGGCTTAACGGTTTAAAAAATATATAAATTTTAACGCGTTTTCACTTATATAGTAAAGGGTTTTCTGAAAATGTGTAACAGTTGGCTAATTTTTACCTCACAGCTAAAAGCTTTGTATATATATAAAAAGATTAGGATGTGCTTAATAAAAGTATCCTGTTTTTTTTTACATTTTGATTCTATTGGGTGCAGGTGATAATTAAGTTCATTTAAGGTTTTGTCCCATACTGCACTTAATCTTACGATAGAAGCATGATTAACAGATGCCCGATCTGACATAGTGTTGGAAATATTTTTGATAATTTGATCGTGGCAACTGGTAAACTCAATTTTATGAAAATCAGAATAAAAGTAGGCTAAATTTTTTATAGATTCAATTGTTTTTCATAATCCTCTGCCCTCCCACCACTCAACTGATCTAAAGCTATAACTAAAGTATCAGTTGGAGTGGTGAGATGTACTGAGTTGACAAGTACATCCTCTTGGGTTGTGGCATCAAACCCAAGAGTTAGATGTGGTGTTTTCATGGCAACTTCAGCGGCTTGTAGGTCAGAAATAACACCAAGTTCTCTTACAAAGTTGTCTACTGAGGTTCTGTAAAAAAAAAAAAAAATGTTTGTAAAATGTTTTACATGTTTCGGATGTTCCTTCAGAGTTGAAGATAATTACTTCCTAGTCCAAACCTCCCGCAGGACGACGGGGGATGGGAGCGGGCAGGGTTTGAACCCGGGACCATCGATAAATCTGAACGACAGTCCAGCGTGCAAACCGCACGACCAGGCAGCCATCCTGTTCTGTGAGGGACGCAATCAAGAAGAACACCCAATCTCTGTGATAAACTACTTACTATAGGGGAGATAGAAGAGGGTGGGGCTTATATTCTTATCTTATATAATACAGACATTACTTCAAAAAAGAATATGATTACGTCCTACGCGTCATGCATATTAACCAATGACTTAAATTCTGCCAAGTCACTGGTTTTTCTGGCTAGCTCAGGCAACCCATTCCATGCTCTAATAGCACTAGGGAAAAAGGAGTATTTGTACAAGTTTGTCCTAGCATATGGGACAAGGAATGTGCCTTTATTTTTTTGTCTTTCAGAGTATTTTATTAAATTTTGTTTTTGTATTTGAAGATTATGGTTCAGTGTTTTATGTATAATTGCTACTTTACTTTTGAGTCTTCTGTCCTGATGGCTTTCTAAATTTAGTGATTTTACTAATGGTGTTACTCTAGTCAAATGTGAATATTCATTTGTTATGAATCTCACTGCTCTATTTTGTGTTTGTTCCAGTTTCTTAATGTTTTCTTGAGTTGAGGGGTCCCAAACGGTGGATGCATATTCTATTATTGGCCTAACCAAGGTTAAATAACATTTTAGTTTTATGTTCTTATTTGATTTATAGAAATTTCTTTTAACAAACCCTAATGCTTTGTTTGATTTTTTTTAATAGTTTCATCAATATGTGGATTCCATGATAGTTTTTCATTTATTATAACACCTAGCTTGGTATAAAAGACAATTAAAAAACATTAATCTAGTCATTACATCATAAGTTTTTTTACTTCTTTTTAAGGGACCTAGCTTTATTTTCTTTTAATTCTTTAATTTCATCTTCAAGATGTAATTTATCACTTTGAAGGGATGTAATGATTGCATCCCTCTCAGCAAGTTCTTTATTATATGAGGATTTAATTTTATTAACAAGTTCTTGGTGAGTTTTTTTGTGTGCTAGATGTTGTTTTTTACATTTGAAACATTTTCTTTTTAGAGATTGAATCTTAGATTCATGTAATTTACCTAGTAGATTTTTTATTCTTTCATTTTTTCTTTTTATAGATTGTCTTAGAGTTTTAATAAGGGTTGGCTGGGAGTTGATTTGAGATTTTAATAAACATATTTTTTTTCTATATTTACTTTTGTCTTCACTTCTTGCCTGTGACATTAAAGAAAGGCGTCTTTTTAATGTTCTTCTACGAGGGGTTAATTCATTATTGCTTCTTAAATTTGATGAAACAGCAGATATGCCTACCCCCAAGACCCAGAATGTGGAACACTCAGGTTGAAAATGTGGAATTTTGGGCCCCAATGTGGAACATAAACACGTTTATGTTTGTCAGCCATACTGTACGCAATATAAATAAAACTTCAATTATATTACTTTAATAACAATACTAGTTTGCTTCTTATAAATTTGATGTAAATAGTATAATATAATTAAAAGTAAGAAAACCTTTAATTCATAATTATGTCCTTTGTTTGAAATCAATAGTTCTAACTCCTATGTGATTATTCTAGATCTATGTGATTATCTATCCTTTTCTAGGGCTCTACTCTAGTCACTCTAGAAGTTGTCTCTAGTGCTAGATCTAAAATAATTTAAGAGTCTGTCTACTAGTAGTACTAGTCTAGGACTAGACCTACATCTAATAAGTCCTCTAAGTCTAAGAACACAGATTATAATAATTATATTATAGATCTAAATATTTATGTCTAGATCTATGGACTTATTGAGAACTAAATTTATTACATATGATAATGATACATAGAAATCTAGAGATCTATCCCCTTCTAAGTCTATTTCTTTAGATACTAAGATAGATCTACATTTAGTATCATCTAGTAAAATCTAGTGCTAGATCTAGTAGATACTATTTAGACTATGTAATAAGTAGATTTAGATCTTATTTAGATCTAGGCCTTAGCCTTACTGTGTCTAGGTTAATTAATTACTTTTAGATCTAGGTCTAGATCTCTAATAACCTATTTGAAAAAAATCCTTTTCTTAGAATAGAAACCTAAGAAACCTGATACAGATATCCTGAAGGTCCGAGAACGTCCAGTTCCCTATTAAAGGACCTCTTGACCAAGGAAAGGCTTTTATCCATGGCCAGGATGAGGCATCGGCTCTTCACCAATCCCTCTGTCCAGAATCCCGCCTTATCCGAAACGATCATGTTATCACGTCTGGTATGTCGCAGGACACGACCCCCTTGAGCCCCGGGTGAGTATCCCCCTCTCACATGAGGCCGAGCCGCGTGGGGGCCTTCCGTATGCCTATAATGTCCCATCGAACCCGTGCGAGGGTCCATCACAGCTCGTATGGCCCCCGATGGGGAACGAATCGATGGGGGGGTTGGACGGGTTAGTGAGCCTTTGTTACATCCCTACCACGTGAAGGTACAGTCTCTTGACCGTACATGGGTAGCCCACTGAGAGCTATGTGCGCTACCATTCTTAGCCTATCTCCCCCGAGTCACGTTAGTATTAGAATAGCGCCTTTGTCGGGAAAAGAATGGGATTAAATGGAAAAATAGGCTTATTAGCACTTACTAGATTCTAAGAATAGATCTAGTATCTAGACCTAGAGTACTAAATCTAGATGTAGATCTAGATCTAGCTCAACCATATCTTCGTAAATTTAGGACACAAGTTGTGAGTAGTTAAAATTTTCAAATACAAACTTGTACAAAACAGTGTCTTCCACATTTTTAAATGATGAAAGCTTTCTTTTTCTTTGTCTTGGCATGATAGTAATCTGATATTAGCTTATAATTAGGATGTGTTAAAGAAGAGTCCAGTAAACAATCATACAAAATTCTTGATAAGTCTTGATATTATATTTTAATGTAGATCTACATCAAGTAATTATTTAAACATTGAAGTAGCCTAGATTAAGAAAATAGAAAAGAAATATTAAATGTATATATCTAATATACTGAGATATTTATATTTTTACAACTGACACTAAAATTATATACAATCTTGAAAAAGTATCACTAGTGATACTTGAAGTAATTTAATTATATAAATTTTTTAAAAATCCCTGAGTCATAAAGAAAAATAAGGTATTAAGGTCAATAGAGACAATTTTTAAATTGTCAATTACCATCATTTAGAAAAAAAACAAACTTATACAGGCCTAATTAGTCACTATTTAAAGTAAATTTATATATAAACCAATATAAAGATTTAGCATGATTTCTTTATTTCTTTTTCTTAAAAAAAAAATAAATTCTAGATCTAGTTAATAGATCTAAATCTATATAAAGACAAACTAGACATATAATGTAAAGATAATTATATTCCAGTATAGATATAACAAGACAGTGAATGCACTGCAAAGTTATATTATAGATTTACTATATATGGGAAGCGTGGTCGAGAGGCCAAGTGCACTTGAACTTGGCTTGGCTACCTAGAAGGGG